GTCTTAGTGTGTGTGTGTGTGTGTGTGGTGTGTGTGTGTGTGTGTGTGTGTGTGTGTGTGTGTGTGTGTGTGTGTGTGTGTGTGTGTGTGTGTGTACTCACCTAGTTGAGGTTGCAGGGGTCGAGTCCAAGCTTCTGGCCCCGCCTCTTCACTGGTCGCTACTAGGTCACTCTCCCTGAACCATGAGCTTTATTGTACCTCTGCTTAAAGCTATGTATGGATCCTGCCTCCACTACATCGCCTCCCAAACTATTCCACTTCCTGACTACTCTGTGGATGAAGAAATACTTCCTAACATCCCTTTGATTCATCTGTGTCTTCAGCTTCCAACTGTGTCCCCGTGTTGCTGTGTCCAGTCTCTGGAACATCCTGTCTTTGTCCACCTTGTCAATTCCTCTCAGTATTTTGTAAGTCGTTATCATGTCCCCCCTATCTCTCCTGTCCTCCAGTGTCGTCAGGTTGATTTCCCTTAACCTCTCCTCATAGGACATCCTCTTAAATCTGGGACCAGTCTTTTTGCAAACCTTTGCACTTTCTCTAGTTTTTTTACCATGCTTGGCTAGGTGTGGGGTTCCAAACTATTTGCTGCATTACTCCAATATGGGCCTAACGTACAGGTTGTAACAGGGTCCTGAACGTTTCCCTTTATTAAGATGTCGGAATGCTGTTCTGAGGTTTGCCAGTCGCCCATATGCGCAGCAGTTGTGTGTGGTTGATGTGTGTGTTGTGTGTGTGTGTCTGTGTGTGTGTGGCTGTTGTGTGTTGTTGTGTGTGTGTGTGTGTGTGTGTGTTTTGTGTGTGTGTGTTGTGTGTGTGTGTGTGTGTGTGTGTGTGTGTGTGTGTGTGTGTGTGTTGATCACCTATTTGTGGTTGCAGGGGTCGAGTCTTAGCTCTGGCCTGTGTGTGTGTGTGTTGTGTGTGTGGGGTGGGGGGTGATGTGTGTTGTGGTGTGTGTGTGTGTGTGTGTGTGTGTGTGTGTGTGTGTGTGTGTGTGTGTGTGTGTGTGTGTGTGTTGTGTGTGTGTGTGTGTGTGTGTGTGTCTGTGTGTCTGTGTGTGTGTCTGTGTGTGTGTCTTGTGTGTGTGTGTGTGGTGTGTGTGTGTGTGTGTGTGTGTGTGTGTGTGTACCCACCTATTTGTACTCACCTATTTGTGGTTGCAGGGGTCGAGTCACAGCTCCTGGCCCCGCCTCTTCGCTGATTGCTACTAGGTCCTCTCTCTCCCTGCCCCATGAGCTCTATCATACCTCGCCTTAAAACTATGTATGGTTCCTGTGTGTCTGTGTGTGTGTGTGTGTGTCTGTGTGTCTACAGCAAAAATGAGGAGAGAAATCTTTAAATCTTATTGACTCGTGGGCTAACCAGAGTTCTTCCCCAGAAGAGTTAACTTACACAAATTATTACATTCATGACAGTGTGAAGTCTTGATTTAGATGTAACATTTCTCTCATGAGAGCACTTCAATGATCATCCTCAAGTACTATAACAAAAGTATTTTTTTAACCAATGGGTTTGTTCAGTTACATTCCTTCAGCATTTTTTTGATCCCACTGACCCTTTAACACAACATATTGTTAACTAAAGCCTGTACAGTATTTCCACTTATGCTATTTTGATTCCTTTCCTCATGTTCAGTATCAGAGCTGCCTCGCCTGTTAAGGACACACTATCATGCTTACAGTACTTTTATTTAAATTTGGAAATGGCTGCTCTTAAAACCAGAGTAAAATGCTCATGCAAGCAGACACACTTGTGGGTGGGAACAGTAATGCAAGTGTACATAACCACAAACTAAAACAAGTAATCATATGCTAACACAAACTCAGTAGTTCACTGAACTGAATATAAACTGATGACATTTCTGAATGTACTGTACACATCACATCAATGCAGATTTCCTTATATTCAGATACTAAAAGTTACATATCCTCTGAAGTACAACTTCACAGTTTGGCACTATGAGCAGGGTGCACAAATCCAACTTGTTTTGGCTTGGCTAAATAATATAATGGCATTCAAAAATACCATAGTCTGTACAGCAACATGAAAAAGGAAAGTACAACAGTGTGAAACACTATAACAAAAAGATATTATATCTAACAATAAAACCATAAAAATAAACTTAAAATTTTTGTTTAATCAATTTTTTATGACATAAAATATTAAAAAGCATTAAAAAATGTTAACATGACAATATTAATTATTTCTCCCTGCATTATATAACAATAAACATGTGCAACTAGACAGCTCACTGCAGGTAGTACATGGAGACTGTCATTAGCCTGCCACACTGCAGGAAGTACATGGAGACTGTCATTAGCCTGCCACACTGCAGGAAGTACATGGAGACTGTCATTAGCCTGCCACACTGCAGGAAGTTTCATGGAGACTGTCATTAGCCTGCCACACTGCAGGAAGTACATGGAGACTGTCATTAGCCTGCCACAATGCAGGAAGTACATGGAGACTGTCATTAGCCTGCCACACTGCAGGAAGTACATGGAGACTGTAATTAGCCTGCCACACTGCAGGAAGTACATGGAGGGCTGTCATTAGCCTGCCACACTGCAGGAAGTACATGGAGACTGTCATTAGCCTGCCACACTGCAGGAAGTACATGGAGACTGTCATTAGCCTGCCACACTGCAGGAAGTACATGGAGACTGTCATTAGCCTGCCACACTGCATGAAGTAAATGGAGACTGTCATTAGCCTGCCACACTGCAGGAAGTAAATGGGACTGCCACACTGCAGGAAGAAACATGGAGACTGTCATTAGCCTGCCACACTGCAGGAAGTACATGGAGACTGTCATTAGCTGCCACACTGCAGGAAGTAATGGAGACTGTCATTAGCCTGCCACACTGCAGGAAGTAAATGGAGACTGCCACACTGCAGAAGTACAATGGAGACTGTCATTAGCCTGCCACACTGCAGGAAGTACATGAGACTGTATTAGCCTGCCACACTGCAGGAAGTACATGGAGACTGTCATTAGCCTGCCACACTGCAGGAAGTACATGGAGACTGCCACACTGCAGGAAGTACATGGAGACTGTCATTTAGCCTGCCACACTGCAGGAAGTACATGGAGACTGTCATGAGGCTGCCACACTGCAGGAAGTACATGGAGACTGTCATTAGCCTTGCCCACACTGCAGGAAGTACATGGAGACTGCCACACTGCAGGAAGTACATGGAGACTGTCATTAGCCTGCCACACTGCAGAAGTACATGGAGACTGTCATGAGGCTGCCACACTGCAGGAAGTACATGGAGACTGTCATTAGCCTGCCACACTGCAGGAAGTACATGGAGACTGTCATTAGCCTGCCACACTGCAGGAAGTACATGGAGACTGTCATGAGGCTGCCACACTGCAGGAAGTACATGGAGACTGTCATTGGGCCTGCCACACTGCAGGAAGTAAATGGAGACTGTCATTAGCCTGCCACACTGCAGGAAGTACATGGAGACTGTCATTAGCCTGCCACACTGCAGGAAGTAAATGGAGACTGTCATTAGCCTGCCACACTGCAGGAAGTACATGGAGACTGTCATGAGGCTGCCACACTGCAGGAAGTACATGGAGACTGTCATTAGCCTGCCACACTGCAGGAAGTACATGGAGACTGTCATTAGCCTGCCACACTGCAGGAAGTACATGGAGACTGTCATTAGCCTGCCACACTGCAGGAAGTACATGGAGACTGTCATTAGCCTGCACACGCAGGAAGTACATGGAGACTGTCATTAGCCTGCCACACTGCAGGAAGTACATGGAGACTGTCATTAGCCTGCCACACTGCAGGAAGTACATGGAGACTGTCATTAGCCTGCCACACTGCAGGAAGTACATGGAGACTGTCATTAGCCTGCCACACTGCAGGAAGTACATGGAGACTGTCATTAGCCTGCCACACTGCAGGAAGTAAATGGAGACTGTCATTAGCCTGCCACACTGCAGGAAGTACATGGAGACTGTCATTAGCCTGCCACACTGCAGGAAGTACATGGAGACTGTCATTAGCCTGCCACACTGCAGGAAGTAAATGGAGACTGTCATTACCCTGCCACACTGCAGGAAGTACATGGAGACTGTCATTAGCCTGCCACACTGCAGGAAGTACATGGAGACTGTCATTAGCCTGCCACACTGCAGGAAGTAAATGGAGACTGTCATTAGCTTGCCACACTGCAGGAAGTAAATGGAGACTGCCACACTGCAGGAAGTACATGGAGACTGTCATTAGCCTGCCACACTGCAGGAAGTACATGGAGACTTTCATTAGCCTGCCACACTGCAGGAAGTACATGGAGACTGTCATTAGCCTGCCACACTGCAGGAAGTACATGGAGACTGTCATTAGCCTGCCACATGCAGGAAGTAAATGGAGACTGTCATTAGCCTGCCACACTGCAGGAAGTACATGGAGACTGTCATTAGCCTGCCACACTGCAGGAAGTACATGGAGACTGTCATTAGCCTGCCACACTGCAGGAAGTACATGGAGACTGTCATTAGCCTGCCACACTGCAGGAATTTAAATGGAGACTGTCATTAGCCTGCCACACTGCAGGAAGTACATGGAGACTGTCATGAGGCTGGAACACACTGCACATGCATATTTTTATTAACAGTTTTATTTTAAGTTTAAAATAATTTATGTATAATAACTTCATTCAAAAATTCTTAAAGAAAATTCATAAAAAATATTTTCAAATATTATGCAACAGCCATGGAATCTATCTTCATAGAAAAAAAATGCCGAAAGAAATGCAGTTATTACAGATTTAAGTGAGCTTATAGGTTTCTTGGCAAACGTCATAACTAGAAGTACACTCGTTAATTATTTTCTTACTTGGAACACTTGAATCTCATCTTAGAAATATAAATACAGTGACAGTTATTCATTGAAGAAAAACATTTAAAACCCAGCCTCATTCTTGTACCATCATGAAAAACATTTAATTTCATTGAAATTTAATAAAATTTTGGTATATAATTTCCAACTCTTTTAGTAAAAACACAAACTATAATATAATCAACATTGTGTTTTATATAAGTAACATATTCAACTTATGATGACAAATTTGTTGGCACAAATTATGAACACTGAAGCTTATCAGAGCAGCTTCAGCACAAGTGCCACTATTACCAAACACTGAAGCTTATCAGAGCAGCTTCAGCACAAGTGCCACTATTACTAAACACTGAAGCTTATCAGAGCAGCTTCAGCACAAGTGCCACTATTACCAAACACTGAAGCTTATCAGAACAACTTCAGCACAAAAGATTTTTAAAAACAGATTATAGAACTGATTAATACATTATTAACCAATATGAAAATCACTTATTTTGATCAACCTCTATGATAATCTAATTTATATATGGAGGGCCATCCTTATGTTAAACTTTCTTAGTAAACATTAAGGCAGAATACAACCCATTAACTTGTCTTTTTGTTTTTCCTGGCAAGTTCAATTTACCAGTACTGATGAGCTACTGTAACTTGTACTATACAAGACTTTACATCTGAAGAGTTATAATTCATCCACAGCATAAGTTCTGTGACAACCTTCATTGATTTAATTTGTAAAAAAAAAATATATATAGCAATTTAAATCATTTTAAGATATGTATATTTTAATCAACTTTAATTCATTGTACAATATTTCATTATTATAATTTTGCTTAAGTGTGATTTACCATTTATATTATCATCAGTATCTGAAGATCTTGAAAGAAAAAAAAAAAATTACTGCATACCCCATTTGAAAACTACGTACTTATACTCCAATTGTTCAAGTTACATCCTTCAGTAATCAGTTTACATGGCACCTTTACACACACCGAAGATTTATTTCATTAATAAATCAATTATGTATTTATAATACAGTTTAACAGAGAGATGGATGGTGTTAAAAAAAATAATCTACATTTTTAAAAATATACAGTATATGAAAGTTATTTTATGTCACTATTAAACATGAATCAGCCAAAACTAGCTGTTGCAATACAAGCATTGTAAAACAACTACAGTATGTAGTTAACAAAGGAATAAATTCCCATTTTTGGCAAGATTTCATTTCTTAAATAATAAGACTGAAGTTTTCAACACGAGGTCATCCTCCTGAGGGAGGAAGTTGACAGAGAACAAGATAACAAACGAGTGAGATAAAATACATTATTTGTTCTCACATTAAGGTAAATCCAACGCAAAAAAAAAAAAAAAAATACCTCCCAGTAACTTTAATGGTTTTGATACAATATATCTGTGAGCAAACAAGTTAATAATTTATAAACTTTGTATACACCTATGTACAAAATGTAATTTGACACACAATGTTCAACACACATTGGAGGCTCACAAACACACACAACCAGAGATTTGTTAAAAAGAAGAAAAAACTCATGTTGAAAGGTCTATAGAATTTACGACTTAGTACGTTTGCCATCTAAACCACACTTCAGTAATGCCAAGCAAGTGACTATGTTACTATGTGCGGGAGGCCACATCTTCTTGCTCAAATGGGCTTGTGAGTACATCTACCTGCTACTGGTTGTGCTACCATTTGCACTTCCTCCTACACCCAGTTCCTCCAACTGAAACAGAAGCAAATTATCTTACTTAATACCTCTTAAAAAAAATGAAACAACATGGAAAATACTGTCTAAAAAGAATATCGCAATAAGGAGTTAGTACACCTAACCATATGTAAAATATTCAAAGAATTTTCTTGGTAAGATTTAAGCATTTTAATTAAACAGAACACTAAAAAGACATGAATTGCACAATATATATATCACAATAATTATCCTATAGATAAAAGAAAGAAGGAAAGAAAATAAGAATTAAGTTGCTTTGAAAACAATCAGACTTCACATGTAAACTATATACAGGTCAGCCATCACTAATCCGGCATCATTGGAACCTGTAGTGAACCAAATTAGTGAGTTTGCTGGATTACAGAGTGGTTAGGTTAGATTATTATTATTATAATCAAAAAGAAGCGCTAAGCCACAAGGGCTATACAGTGCTGCAGGGTAGGGAAGGAAGCGAGGGTATTGGGCGACAGAAGGGGGGAGGGGTGATCAGTAGGTTACAGAAAACAGCGGGGCAGGGGATAGTGCAGGGGTAGAGGGTAGCAAGAGATTGAGGTAGAAAGGGCTGAAGGTATCAGAGTTTGTGAAGTAAGTCAGTTGTTGTCAAAAAGTCAATGAGAGAGTCCGGATGAAAGGTGGGTCCATCAGCGAGAAGGGAAGGTAAAGAGAGAGCAGCGGAGCGAAGACGACGATGGAGGTAAATTCTGCGTGCTCGTTGATAAAGTGGGCAGTCCAACAGAATGAGGCTGACTGATAATGGAACCTGACAATTCTTACAGAGAGGAGCAGGGCGCCTCTCCATGAGATATCCATGAGTAAGAGGAGTATGGCCAATGCGAAGACGGGAGAGAGTAGTCTCCCAACCTCGACACTGGTGACAAGAAGACGGCCAGTAACCTATACTCAGTTTAATAGATTGAAGTTTGTTACCAAGCATAGTAGACCAACGTTGTTGCTAACGGGTGTGAAGGTGGGTAGCTATTGCAGCAAAATAGTCCATAAATGGAATACCTCTATATGAAACTGGTAGGTCATGTACTGCTGACGGCGCAGCAGTGTCTGCCTGTTCATTGCCCTGAACACCAACATGACCAGGGACCCAACAAAAAACAATATCTTTATGCTTGGTAAAGATGCGGCGTAGCCAAAGTTGGATACGGAGGACTAAGGGGTGAGGTGTATCAAATTTCTGTATAGTCTGTAGAGCACTAAGGGAGTCTGAGACAACCACAAATGATGACACAGGCATAGATGCAATACGGATAAGTGCTGCAAGAATGGCATACAATTCAGCAGTAAAACTACTAGCCATAGATAGTAAATGCCCTCGTACAACGCTGTACGGAAACACTGCTGCGAATCCTATGCCATCAGAAGACTTAGAGCCATCTGTGTACACTGCAATGGCATGAGAATGAGAGTAGAAGTGGTCAAGAAAAAGAGAGCAGGAAGCGACCGTAGACAGTTGGGCTTTTGAGCAAGGGGGAGAGAGAAAATAACAGACTTGAACAGCTGGATCTTCCCGGGGGGGTAGGGAAAGTGAGATGCTACATGAACATAGAAAGGTGGTAACTGAAGAGAAGACAAGAGCGAATGTAGGCGAAGAGAGAAGGGACGGAGTAAACAGGGGCGGAGAACAAATAAAGAATGTCTACTAATATCAGTGACCATTCTATAAAAGGAAGGATTGCGGAGATCATGAGAGCATACATAGTAGCGAAGGCAATGGGCATCACGGCGATCGGATAAGGATGGAACTTTCGCTTCTGTATAGAGGCTCTCAACAGGGGAAGAGCAAAAAGCGCCAAGGCATAAACGTAATCCTTGGTGATGAATGGGGTTAAGGCTAGAGAGAGAGTAGCAGGAGATGCCCCTGAATAGATCTGGTCACCATAATCAAGTTTCGATAAAATGAGGGTGGAATGAAGGCGAAGGAGAGTTCGACAATCAGCTGTCTATGAAAGATGAGCAAGGGTTTTAAGAAGGCTCAGCCGGCTGTGACAAGTTCCCTTCAGAGAGGTAATGTGAGGTTTCCAGGATAACCTACGGTCAAAGAGGAGGCCCAGAAACCTGACTGTATCACGTTCAGGGATACGGGAGCCAAAGAGGTACAAAGGATGATCGGAGATGACAGAGCATCTAGTGAAAGTAATCTGGTGAGTTTTGGTACTGGAAAATTTAAACCCATGCGTGGTGGCCCAATTGGAAACACGGTCGACTGAATGCTGGAGAGAAACTGTAATGACGTGACAGTCAGCACCTGCACAGGCAATAGCGAAGTCATCAACATAGAGTGATGACCAAATATTTGATGGAAGACTAGAGGCCAAATCATTTATAGCAACGAGAAAATGTGTTGTGCTCAAAACACATCCCTGGGAGACACCTTCAGCTTGGATAAAGACTGGGGAGAGCACATTATTAACCCGAACACGGAAATGTCTGTCAGTTAAAAAGTTCTTAAGGAAGGATGGTAGATTGCCTCGGAGGCCTAAGGAGTGGGCTTGGGCCAAAATATTATACCCCCAAGTTGTGTCATATGCCTTCTCAAGGTCAAAAAATATGGCAATAACTGAGTGGTTATTCGCAAAGGCATTACGAACATACGTATACAAGCATAGTAAGAGGTCTATGGTAAAACGTCCTTATGAAAGCCATATTGACGAGTGGAGAGACTGTTGTGTGTCTCTAAATACCACACTAAATGTCTATTTACCAGGCATTCCATCACTTTGCAAACTGCACTGGTAAGAGCAATGGGACGATAGTGGGAGGCTTCATGTTCCGTAGTGCCCGATTTGCAGAAAGGGAGAACAATGGCAGATTTCCACGGCTGTGGAAGAACTTCTTGTGACCAAATAAGATTGAAAAGGCGTAATAGGACTGCAAGGGCTGACTGATGTAAATGTTGTAGCATACGAATATGAATGTCGTCGGGCCCAGCTGCCGATGATCGGCAAGCTGAGAGTGCTGCCTCCAGTTCTTGAAGTGTAAAAGGCACATTATACTGTTCTTCTCTGAGAGAAGAAAAGTCCAAGGGTGCTAACTCTCTGGCAGACTTTGAGGAAAGAAACGAGGGGCACAGATGGAGCCCCTGAGAAATACAGACCAGATGATTGCCAATTTCATTGGCAACATCTAGTGGGTTTGCTATATCAACACCAGCAACCCGCAGAACAGGAGCCGGGTCTGGAGAATATTTACCACTCAGTTTTTTGTACTTTTTTCCAGACTGCACTCATAGAGGAAGCAGAGTGATGGTGGAGACAATCTCGCCAGCAAGTGCATTTAGCGTCATGGATGACATGGCGAGTGATCGCACGCTTCTGCTTAAATCAAGTAGTCTCTCCGTGGTTCTATTGTACCGGTACCTGCCCCACGCAGTGCGTTTCAAACGTACTGCACGAGCACAAGCAGGAGACCACCAAGGCACGCATTTCTGAGAATGCCTGCCCGAAGTTTGGGGAATAGAATGAGAAGCTGCAGTTAAAACGGAGGACGAGAAGAGGTGTAAAAGCTCATCAATGGAGGACGAAGAAGGAACCTCACTAAAAACAGTTAGTTGTGAGTAAAGGTTCCAATTTGCCTGATCAAATTGTCAGCGTGGGATACGAAGAGGTGGTAAATATGAAGGGAAAGTAAGAATGATTGGGAAATGATCGCTGTCATGTAAATCCGGGAGAACAGACCAGGTGAAGTCTAATGCGGCAGAGGAAGAGCAGACTGAGAGATCGATGCAAGAGAGTGTGAGCCCGAGGATCAAAATGGGTTGGAGTACCTGTATTTAAAACATGGAGGAGGTGGGTAGCAAGAAAAGCCTTTAACTGAATGCCACGGGATCACAGTGAGACCCCCAGAGGAAATGATGGACATTAAAATCGCCAAGAAACAGAAGCGGTGGCGGTAAGACGAAACAAGAAAGGCAATACCCGGAATAGATAATGCCCTAGAAGGAGAGAGAGATAAAGAACAGAGCGTATACACCTATGCAAGTGGATACGGGTTGCTGTGTAATGCAGCGAAGTACAGTGGAACCTCAAAAATCGAACTGCTCCCAACACAACCAATTATGTAAGTGTTATTTTTGTAAGTGCTTTTATAAGTGCATTTTTGAGGGTTTGAAATGGACTAATCTAATTTACATTATTCCTGATGGGAATAAATCAATTCGGTAAAGGCACTCAAACAGCCTTCTGGACCAAAGAAAGTTCGATATTTGAGGTTCCACTGTACGAACAAATAGCTGATGGTACGAAATATCAGTGCGTAGAAGAGGGCACTTTCATTAAAGGTCCCATCAGGAAAAGGATCTGAAGAATACAATAAATTATAGCCTGAGATGGGATAGATAACAGCAGAGTGTAATTTTGGTTCTTGTAAGCAAACACCAACAGAGGAAAACTAGGAGAGTAACATCTGAAGTTCACCCAATTACCCGAGGCCGCGTATATTCCACTGTAAATAGGCCATGATTGGCAACGATAAAGATACCTGAAATCCGCAGGTAAGGGTTCCTACGGACTAGAGGGGTTAAAAAGTCCATATGCGGAGGCAGCAAAAAAACGTTCAAGCAGCAAAAAACGTTCAAGCAGCGAAGGAACGGTGCGCTGCGAAGAAAGGAGTTGCGCAGATGGAGGAGAGAGAAGAGAAGGAACAGAGAGTGGATCAGTGTCCATTGACGGTTTGGTCTCTGCAATATATTCAGAGATTGCTTCAAGTGTTTCGGAATTCAGAGACATCGTATGGGAGACAATATTGGTGATGGTAGGGGGAGGATAAGTAAAGATTGGAACTGTAATGGACTGTACCAATGTAGGGGGGGGGCGAAAGGGTGGAGGGAACTGGAGAAGAAGCGTGGAAGGGACAGAAGAGGCAGAAACCTGGGAGGTGGAAGAAGAGGAAGAAACTTGGGAGGGAACAGGGGAGGAAGGTACAGTACGAGGAGGGGGGTGAACCTCTACACTTGTAACAGAGCCAGTGAGAGGGGAAGAACCAGGTAC